GAGGGGACCGGGTGAATGGTGCCGAGGGGGGACCTCTGGAGCAACCCGTGAAGGACCCCGAGGAGGCACCAACGAGGCGGCGGCCTGCGAGGAAGCGTAAGAGGAAAGCCCCGAGCAGACCCCTGAGGGGCCCGACGGAGGACCCTGAGAGGGAGCCCCAGAAAGGACCCGGGAGGGACGACGAGGGCAAGTGTTTGCCGCAGCTCCTGAGGGAACCGGCGGGGCACCCTGGCGGGGGGCCTGTGAAAGACCTCGAGGAAGAACCCATGGGAGACACTGCGGGGAGACCTGTGGAGAACCCCAAGAGGGAACGTAGTAGGGGGCCCTTGGGGGGACCTGTACAGGACCTGAAAGAAGAACCCATGGCAGACGCTGAGGGGACACCTTTGAAGAACCCCAAGAAGGAACCTCTTGAGGGACCCTTGGGGGAACGCATGAAGGATGCCAAGCGAGAGCCTGTAGGAAGTCCCGCGAAGGACGCCGTGATGGCCCCTGAGGGGGAGCGTGTGACGAGGTCCACGAAGCGACGGCCTCCGCGGGAACAGCGTGAGGGCTCCAGGAAGAAGCCCAGGAAGAGACTGGCAAAGAGGCCCGCAAGGGGACCCCAGAGGAGGCCCAGGAGGCGCCCCGTGAAGCAGCCCCCGAGAGGAACCGTGAGGAGCCCCCCGAGGAGAGCCCTGAGGGGCCCCACCAAGGTGGGTGTGCGGGTTGGTAGCAGACTCGACCTTGGGCAGTCAGCTTTGTATGAAATGGACTCTCCTTAGAATGCCCGTGGCACGTGATTATTTGTAGGGTAGGAAGTGGAGGTTTTCCCACCCCCAACTCTGTTCCCCTCCCCACCACCCCCACCAAACCTGAGAGGCCACCCTCGGCTCTGCCCTTACCCCTCCTGCCACTCAACGCACGGCCTCCTGGCAGGCCATGCCAGCTTTTGTTTTGGTGCCTCTGCTGCCAATGGCCTGTTTCCTTTTTATTAAATCATTTTATTGGGGGCTCTTACATCTCATCACAATCCATACATTCACCCATTGTGTCAAGCACATTTGTACATGTTGCCATCATTTTCAGAGCATTTTTTTTCTACTTGAACCCTTGATATCAGCTCCTTATTTTCTCTCCTCCCTTTCCCCACCTTCTCTCCCTCATGAACCCTTGATAAATAATAGATTATTATTTTCATATCTTAAATCGTCCTCTGTTGCCCTTCACCCACTTTTGTGTTGTTCATCCCCCTGGGAGGGGGTTATATATTGATCCTTGTGACCGGTTCCCCCTTTCTCCCCCCACCTTCCTCTTGTCCTCCTGGTATCTCCACTCTCATTGTTGGGCCTGAGGGATTTATCTATTCTGGATTCCCTGTGTTAAGGGCTCTTATCTGTAGCAGTGGGCATACTCTGGTCTAGTCATATCTTTTGATAGCCGGGCACCATTTGCTTATGCACCTGCTTTGTCTTCAGCCATCGTGTCGGAGGGTGAGCACTCGTCAGAGAAAGCCGGGTTATTAGAACAAAGTATTCTTGCGTTGAAGGAGCACTTGAGTCGAGGCCCAATGTCCAATGGCTTGTTTTCTAAACCCGCACTAAGCAGCTCGGCACCCTGAGGATTGGGCTTCCCTCCCACAGGCTGGTACACTTGGGCACCACGGTCACTATGTGGGTCCACTCCTGCCCAGAGGCTGGGTCTCTGCCGTCCCCAGGTGCTGAGGAGGGTGAGCGACAGTTCTTTCCATCCTCTTCCCGCCTCTGCGCTTCCTCCTCCCTAAACAACAGGGGCGGGCTTCTTCCCTCCAGATTTGCTGGTACTTTGGGCAGTCCACGACCCTCTCAGTGCCCTTCTCCAGCGCCATCATCCAAATGCATCTATCCTCTTTGCTCCTCCTTATCCACGGTCCGGCTTTCACACTCGGAGGAGGGGCTTGCAAAGACCAGGGCTCTGGTCAGGTGCTCCCCAGTCCTTCCTCAAAGTAACACCCTTGCTGTTCAACACTCTGAAGAGGCCTCGAGAATTTACTTGATAAGACGCGTGTGGTTTGATCTCTTGACTGCTGCTTCTGCAGATGTTGATTGTGGATCCAAACAAGCCTAAATCCCTAACAACTTCCCTCTTCCCTTTGTTTATCACAGTGTATCCAACCTACTGGTCCAGTCGTGAGGAGTTGGGTGTTCTTTACATTGAGTATGGTAATTCACACCGAAGGAGGCTGCGATCTGTGATCCTCATCGGCAAGTGCTTCATGTCCTCGCTTGAAGCAAGCAAGGTTGTGTCACCTTCCTAGTGCGGCGGGCTGTTAATGAGCCTTCCTCCATTCCGATGGGCTGAGTTCTTCATACAGTCCAGCATCCTTAATTATTTGCTCAGCACACAGATTGAATAAGTATGGTGAGGGGATGCACCCTTGATGCACGCCTTTCCTGATTTTAAACCATGCAGTGTGCCCTTGTTCTGTTCACACAACCTTTTATCCGTGTGCAGGCTCATGAGCACAATGTGGTGTTCTGGGATTCCCATTCTTCTCAATACTATCCATAGTTTGTTATGATCTACACAATTGAATGTCATGGGGATAGTCAATACAACACAAACACATCTGGTATTCTCTGTTTTCAGCCAAGACCATCTGACATCAATGATCTCCCCATGTTCCATATCCTCCTTTGAATTTGGCTTGAAACACTGCCAGCTTCAACTGTTGTTGGATGGTCTTCAGCACAATCTTACTTGGTGTGTGCTTTCAATGAGGTTGTTGTTTAGCATTCTATTGGGTCACCGTTCTTTGGACTGGATATAGATATGGATCCAGTCAGTTGGTTGGTCAAGTAGCTGTATTCCAAATTTCCTGGCAAAGAGGAATGTGCTTCCAGGGCTTCATCAGCTTTTTTGAAATTTCATTTGGTATTTCATTCATTTCTGGAGCCATGTTTCTGGCTAATGCTTTCAGTGCATGTTGGACTTCTTCCCCCACAACTGTGGTTCTCGATCATATGCTTATTTCTTGCAGAGGCTGAACATCAACTAGTTCTTTTTGGTACAGTGACATTATCTTCTTTTCATCTGACACTTCCTGCATCGTTCAATATTTTGCCCATAGAATCTTTCAGCAACTCGAGGCTTGACCTTTTCCATGAGTTCTCTCTGTGTAAGACGTGCTGAGCGTGTTCTTCCTTTCGGTTTTCTGGCTCTAGGTCTTTGCACACTTCATTCTAATACTTGATTTTGTCCTCTTGAGTTGCCCTTGGAAGTTTTCTGTTCAGCTCTTCGGCTTCCATCATTTCTTCCATGTGCCTTAGCCACTCTGTGATTAAGAGCAAGTGTCGGCCTCTTCTGGCGTCCATGCTGATCTTTGGATTTGCTTGTCAGTGGCTTTGCTGTCTTCATGTAGGGTGTTCTTGATGTCCTCCCACAGCCTTTCCAGGCTTCTGTCATTAGTGTTCACTGCATCAAATCTGTTCTTGAGATGGTCTCAGAATTCAAGTGGGATAGACTCAGGTTGTCTTGGACTTGTTTTAATTTTCTTCAGCTTCAACCTAAACTTACATATAAGTGGTGGATAGAATGTTCCACAGTCGGCCCCTGGCCTGGTTTTAGCTGCTGATAGATACTGAGCTTCTCCGTCTTCTCGTCCCACAGATGTAGTCCATTTGATTTCAAGTTCAGATTTCCTGTTCCAAGCTACAGTTATTAATTGATATTTGCAGCTGTTTCTTCGCATTACAGTTGTACCCCATCAGCAGATGAAGGTCCTGCAAGCTTTACCCCACCCATGTCATTACAGCTGACTGTACTTTGAGAAGACAGCTCTTTCAAGTGTGCAATTCAATGTCTTTCATAATGTCAGAGTTGTTCAGCCATTACCATACTCATTATCTAGTTCCAGAACGTTTCATTACGCTAAAAATTCTATCACGTTGCCCACAGAGCAGTCACTCTCCAATGCCCCCACTTTCCCAGTCCACTAGGTAACCACTAACCCCTTTTGTGCTCTGTGGGTGGCCCTGTGAATGGGATTAGGTGACCCTTGACCTTTTGTAAAATCTGGCTTCTCTCACTGAGCACTTGGCTGTGTGGCCTCCAGCGGATGGGTGGTTGCCGCTTTTCAGTTCATTCGATCGATCAAGTGGCAGTCGATGTGTGAACGAGTGACAGGCAGTTCTCAAGTGGTCATCCTGTGCTTGAGGCCACGAGGGGACTGGGCAGGGCTCACCGGGGTGGTTGCGCCCCCGAGGTCTGGGGCCACTTCATGGGCTCCGGCCTGTCTCCCAGGAGGTGCGGGAGACACGGCGACGGCATGAGCACCAGCTGGTGGAGGTGGACAGCAGCCGGCAGCAGGAGTACGACTTCAAGATGGCGCAGGCGCTGGAGGAGCTGCGCGGCCAGCACGACGAGCAAGTGCGCCTCTACCGCCTGGAGCTGGAGCAGACCTATCAGGCCAAGGTGGGCGGGGCCCTGTGGGCGGGGCAAGCGAGCCTCTTCCGCCTGGAGCTGGAGGAGGCCTATCAGGCCAAAGTGGGCGGGGCCGGGGCCGACGTACCGGGCTGTGTGGGCGGGAAAAGTGGCTCTGCTGCCTGGAGCTGGCCAAGGTGGGTGCAGTGGGTGGGTCTGGGACAAATGCTGCTGGGCTTGGGAGCTGGAGTGGACCTGCCAGGCCGCGGTGGGCGTGGGTGGCCTGGATGCCCTCCCTTAGGCCGAAAGATATCCCATACCTGCACTTGACCCTGCAGCTGGAGAACGCCAAGCTGAGCTCCGACCAGAACGACAAGGCGGCCAGCGCCGCCCGCGAGGAGCTGAAGGAGGCCCGCATGCGGGTCGAGTCCCTCAGCTATCAGCTGTCCGGCCTCCAGAAGCAGGTGAGCCTGAGGGCTGCCCTTGCCCCCGCCCCCTAGATCCCCCCAGGAGGTAATGGGTCCCCTGTCCTTGGAGGTCCGTCGGTACGCCCGAGTTGGCTCTCACCTGTCCCCTTCCTGCCCCAGGCCAGTGCTGCTGAGGACCGCATCCGGGAGCTGGAGGAGACCATGGCTGGGGAGCGGGACCGGTTCCGGAAGATGCTGGATGCCAAGGAGCGGGAGATGACCGAGATGCGGGATGTGATGCAGCAGCAGCTGGCCGAGTACCAGGAGCTACTGGACGTGAAGCTGGCCCTGGACATGGAGATCAGCGCCTATCGCAAGCTGCTGGAGGGCGAGGAAGAGAGGTGGGCAGAGGCGGGGCCGGGGTGGTGGCAGGGGCAGGGGCAGGCGACTGGCTGTGCTGACCTCTGGTACTTAGTACCTGCTCTGACCCTCGCAGGCTGAAGCTGACTCCCAGCCCATCTTCAAGGGTGACCATCTCCCGGGCCACCTCGAGCAGCAGCAGCAGCGTGTCCACGGCGGGGCGCCCTGGCCGCAGCAAGCGGAAGCGCCTGGAGGTGGAGGAGGCGCTGGGCTCAGGTTCCAGCGGCATCGGCACGGGCTCCGGCGGCAGCAGCAGCAGCACCACGGCCAGCAGCTTCCAGCTGTCCCAGCAGGCGTCTGCCACAGGCAGCGTCAGCATTGAGGAGATCGACCTGGAGGGGAAGTTCGTGCGGCTGAAGAACACTAACAGCAAGGTGACGCCGCAGGGCTGGTCGGAGCCCGTGGGAGGGCCACTGCTGGGGAGGGCCACGTGGGGAACCCAGTGTCACCTCTGCCGTCTGTAGGACCAGTCCTTGGGGAACTGGAGGATCAAGAGGCAGATGGTGGGCGGGGATGAGATCGCCTACAAATTCACGCCCAAGTACGTCCTGCGTGCTGGACAGACGGTCACGGTAAGTGGTGGGGGCTGGGCTGGCCACTGGGCTTGGGGATGGTGGCAGAGAAGGCCCACCCTGGTCTGAGGTCATGGGGCTGGTGGCAGCGACTCAGTGGTGTAAGTTGCAGCTGCCGCTCCAAGCTCCTCACGTCTGGAGGGGAGATGGAGGCACAGAGAGCCTGCGGGTCCTTCCAGCTCCGTGGTGGAGGTGGTGCTCGAGTGTGGACCCTGGGGCCCCACAAGCTGTCCCAGAGACTCCAGCTCGGTCTTGTCCGCTGGGTGCCCGCCACACTCTGAACCTCAGCTTCTTTTGTCTGTTGGATACAACCCTTGGGTGTGGAAGGGCTGCATGGCCGAGGAAACTGACAGCGGCCCTTCCTTTGCCCTCAGGTGTGGGCAGCAGGCGCAGGCGTGGCCCACAGTCCCCCAGCCACACTCGTGTGGAAGAGCCAGAGCAGCTGGGGCACGGGTGAGAGCTTCCGCACGGTCCTGGTGAACGCCGACGGGGAGGTGAGTGGGCTGAGGCAGTGGTGGCTGCTATGGTCTTGCATTTGTGGGAGCTGGATGCTGGAGTTCAGGGAGGCGGGGGCGGGGGCGGGGGCCGGGGCGGCAGCGGCATCTGGCTCTGCCTGGCCACAGTGTGCACAGCACAGCAGGTGTGCTCCACCTGCTGGGACAGCCCGGGCCAGGCACAGCCTTGGGGGCAGGTGCCCATCAGTGCCGTCTCGCGCAGGAGGTGGCGATGCGCATCGTGACACAGTCCTCGGTGGTGCGGGAGGCCGAGAATGGCGAGGAGGAGGAGGAGGAGGAAGCAGAGTTTGGCGAGGAAGACCTTTTCCACCAGCAGGTAGAGGCCCATGCCCACCACCTACCACCTACCTGGACGTATTCATTGATTGGGTGGGCGCGGACACCCGTTTGCACACAGGCTCATATGTATATACCTCCCTAGACATAGGCTCACATGTGTACATATGTACACACCTGTATGTAAACTGCCCCATGCACACATGCTCATATCCATAAATACCTGCTTGCATGTACACACCCCCATATGCACATGGCCACACCCTGAGTACCCAGTATTCCCCTGCTCACACCAACATTCATGCGTGTTTACGTAGACATAGAGCCATACACAGTTTTTAATGGAAAAGTGGAATTTTAAAACAATGGGGGCCCCCCCCCCAGCTCTTTGAATGGACACACCCATGTGTTCTCTCTCTCTCCTGACCCATACATAAGTTCATTCAGGTATACACACACACACACACACACACACACACACACACCAATCTCCATTCACATCAGCTCCCACATGGACACACGCCCCATCCCCACCCGTACACACAGGTCTGCACACCCCTCACACAGCTCTCGGTGCATGCACACACGGTTCCGTGTCTGGGTGGCAGACCCCTCCCACCCAACAACGCACATCCGCAGGCAAGAAAGGTCAGGGAGAAGGTGGCATTCAGGCCCTGCTACCTGGGCACGGGGCGGGCTCTGCGCTGCTGTCAGTCACAGGATGCTGCCAGCCTGCCTGGGGTTTGTGGGATGTTGGGTGGGCACCTCAATATCCTGTGACCCCAAGGCCTTAGCATCTGTGGGTTCCCCGCAGCCACCTGCCCTCATCACTCTAAGTTACCAGAGTCTTAAATACAGCTTTGGGAGGTATATGTGTGGAGGTGGTGGGGGTGGGGGAAAGACACTGAAAACTCACATCCTTGTTTAGCATCCATATCGAAAACTTCCCCATTTCAGAACCCCAAGAATGTGGCCAGTGGGGTAAAAGGAAGATGCTGGAAATGGAGGCTGATCAGCAGCAGAATTTGTGGGGGGCAGTCCAGCTGACCTCCTTTCAGGGGTGGGGTGGTGCCCAGCCTCTCCCGACCTCCAGGGATGCCCCTGACTCCTGCCATCTTGCTCTTTCTTGCCAGGGGGACCCACGAGCCACCTCCAGGGGCTGTCGCGTGATGTAAACGGACCTCTTCACCCCCATCTTCACCGAGGCCACTGAAGACTATTTTTATATCACTGGCTTTCTTTAGTCCCTGATACATTTCTAGACGATTTTTTAAGCAACTGCCAGCACTTGTGGGGGGAAGGGAAGCTGAACATTGGCATCGGTGGGTTCTGGGATCCTCCCTCTCTCCACAGTGGCGGGAGTTCCCCTGGCCCTGCCTCAACTCCGGGTTGAAAGTGAGGGCTAGGAGCTATATATCAAAGGGGAGGTGGGCTTGGTGCTGGGGACCAGCTTGGGGCCGGGGGCAGGCTTCTTGGGCCTTCGGTGGGCGGAGAACTCAAACCTATTTGGTTACTGATTTTTGTTTGTAAGCTTCTGAAACCAAATTCCAGAGCCTGTTCCGGCCTGGCCGGCGTGGGTGGTTGTGTCTGCGTTGAAGAACCTGGGATTGGGGTTCGTGTCACCTGCAGGGTTCACTGCCCAACACACACTGGGCTGGGGGCGCCCCGAGGTGGCCTGCCCTTGGCTCAACTCAGCTTCCTCACTGTGTGGAGCAGTTTGGAGGGGTGCTGTGGGGCTGGGTCCCAGACCCGTCCTGGACTCCACCCTGAGATAGATGCACAGGAAGCTGGAGGGGCCGATCCGATGGCCTCAGACACAGAGGCCCAAGGGTTAGGACAGAGGCTCGCAGAGCCTGCTCCTGCAGCCCCGGCAGCCCAGGGTGATGGCATCCTGAGTCCACACACTCAGATCCACAGTGCAGCTTTGCTCTCCCGCTTCCTCGCTCACGGGCCCCTGGGCGGGCCTAGGCCCTAGTACACCCCACCCCACCCCACCAGCCAGCCACCCGCCTGCATTCACCTTTCCGTTGGCCCGTTGCTGGGCAGGCACTCTCGGGGTGCTAGGCAGCTGCACACGCAGGCGGGCCTAGGCCCTAGTACACCCCACCCACCCCACCAGCCAGCCACCCGCCTGCATTCACCTTTCCGTTGACACTGCCCACTCTCGCACAGAAACACAAGTTATTTTTTTAATGGATATTTATTTTTTTACATTGGTCAGTACACAGATCACAGGGGTCCAGGGCAGGTGGGGGGTTAGCCCCTTCTCCACAAGGGTGGGGTCAGCTCATGGGCGCCAAGCCTGCGAGTGGCCACTGCCTTCAGAGTGCAGCTCCGAACCTTAAAAGATGCTACACTGAGCCACTAGTGGGCGCTGTTCCTGGGTGGAGGGGTGTCCCCAGCCTCCCTGTGGGTGTGAGTGTGGGGGCTTGCAAACTCGGTCTGCCCTGGTTGGCGTCCCCTTGGCTTCCGCAGGCATCACTGGTGGCGGTTGAGGGGGGCCTCAGCCAGACACAGAAGGTGACGAGCTGTCCCACCACCTTTTCTCCCCACCTGGAGTCCCCCCGCCCAGGGCTCCTCCCCTTGTAGCAGATGGGTTCCCTACACACTTGTTGGGGGAGGGGGGGGTGGGGCCTGTGGGCCCCTCAGGGCATTGCCAGCTTGCCAGACCCCCAGAGCTGTGCAGACAGCGACAGCTAGCAGGACAAACCATATGGGCCCCCCTTTGCGGGCTCTGATGTCTGAAAAGGCGCTGGAAGGCAGGTACCCACCCAGCAGTCCCCAAGCACTGAGCGGGAAATGTGGCCCCCTCAAGTCCAGGTGCCCCAGAGACAGGCATTTCTCTCCTGTAGCTGGTCTTCATACCCCCACCCAGATTAGAGTCACAAGTCACTGGCTGATGGGATGACCCTCGGAAGCGGAATCCCGCTGGGAGAGCAGTGCCGCGGCTTAAGCAGCAGTGTAGGTCCGTGACCCAAATGCAGGCATGGCCCTGGCCGATTGGCCAGTCCGTGAAGCGTCTGAGAATCCTTTTGACACGTTGTGTTGGAGGAAAGCGGGACAGCCTGTGAAGGCCTGACCCAGGTGTGGGCCACGCAGGAGTCCCCCCCGGAAAGCAAGGCTTTTTATTTCAGGGTTCTGCTTACGTTGGCGCGGTGAGCCGCGGGGGTTCTGTACAGGTTACGTGGGCGGGGTGTGTGCTGACGCTGGTTCTTAAAATGCATGCCAAATGTGTGGTCTTCGCTTTCCCCCGCCCAGTGACTTGTAAAATACGTTTTATGACTGGAAACTTTTGTACAACACTCCAATAAACTTTCATTTTAAGCCTCGACTCCCGAGTCCACTCCTGTCCGGGTTGCAGTGGGCGTTGACTGGCCTGTCTGCACGTATTCACACAAGCCTCGAATGGGAGCGTTGATAACCCTGTCACGTGGTGGACCCTGACCCTTCTACAGCCAATCTCCGGCGCACGCGTAGCGGGACCGGAAGTCAGGTGTGGCGCGGGGGCGGGCCCGGACGCGCACGGCTTTGTGGGAATTGAAGTCCAGCCCTCCGTGACTTCATTCCCTGTGGTGCCGCGCTGCCAGCTTCCGGCGCCAGTACGGGTCGGCGCACGCGGCCGCGGTCCGGGTGACTTTGCGGAGCAATGGAGGGCGGCTTCGGCTCAGATTTCGGGAACTCCGGGGGTGGGAAACTGGACCCCGGTGTCATCATGGAGCAGGTGAAAGTACAGATTGCCGTCGCCAACGCGCAGGAGTTGCTACAGGTCGGTGGCCGAGCCGGGGGTCGGGGCGAAGGTGGGGGACTTCCCCCACACACACCAGGCGTGAAGTTGTAGACTGAGGGATCGTGTGTCTCCGCAGAGGATGACGGACAAGTGCTTCCGGAAGTGCATAGGAAAGCCGGGGGGCTCCTTGGATAATTCTGAGCAGGTGAGGACCGTAGGGTGGGTGGACGTGAGTCGCTTGTCCTGGGACCTGGCGGGAGGGCCGCTGCGCGTGCGCAGACGTGCAGGGCGGTGTGGTGGGGGCCCGTTGCACGTGCGCAGTTGGCCGCCCGGGGGCCCTCCTGGGGAGGCGGGTAATCCTGTGGCGTGCGCCAAGGGACCGCCTCTGAGTCCTCTCCTCACCTGCAGAAGTGCATCGCCATGTGCATGGACCGCTACATGGACGCCTGGAACACGGTATCCCGTGCCTACAACTCGCGGTTGCAGCGTGAGCGGGCCAACATGTAACGAGGACCCTCCAGGAGCCCCTTCCTCCAACCCCCATGTCCTTATCCATAAACATTCTGAGACGTGACAGCGAAGAAGCGGGGTTCCGTTGCGCCTGGACTGCCCCTCACTGCGCACTGAACCTCACCCTGTCCGCCTCCGGTGTAAATTGAGTCTGGGGACCCAGGGCCTTCCTAACGTGCTGGCAGCTCGGGGTCAGGCCGTGGAGACCCCCTTTGTGCTCCCTAAGGTCGACTGCATGCCCCAGGTAACCCTTGTTTGGACTTTGGTGGGAGGGTAGGGGTGGGCAGCCCAGAGCCGACTTGAGCTCACCTGAGCCCAAACCACTTGAGGCTGTGAAATAAATTGCTGAGAATGGACACCGTGCGTTTATTCTGTGGGTCCGGGACCCTAATAGCCTTCAGCCGTTGTTTGTTTTCTGGGGGGCGGCTCTTTTCCCGCAAAGCCCCCGGGGGTACCAAGCAAGGTGGTAGGGATGAGTTCAACGAAAAGGGGCAACCTCAAGGTGCCGCTTACCCCAGCCTGGAAGGCTACCCACCCCCAGCCCTTGCTTCCCCCGCCCCCCACTGTCCTCCCATTTCTGACCCAAGTGGGAGTGGGGCAAGGGAAGAAAGAGCAAGCAGGGGTAGGAGGCAGTGTTTTATTGAAACAGAATCAATAAAGCTGCACACACACTCCCAGCAGCCACCATGCCACCGCTCCCTCGGCAGGCTGGCTGGTGCCGCCCCCGTGCTGGCCACCTGGAAGTCAGTTCTTGATGTTCTGTCCGATCCAGCCTCTCACCGCCGCTACGCGAGTGTAGACTCCTGGGAAGTGGGGCCGCCCGCAGCCGTAGCCCCAGCTGGTAACCCCGGCTAGCACCCATCGGCCGGAGGGTTCCCTGCAAGCCAGGGGTCCCCCAGCATCTCCCTGAGTTGGGGAGAAAGGATAAGACATTAAGGCCAAAGTCCCTACTCCTTCCCTGGAGCCTCACTTTGACTTCCTGGGAAATGGGTTCAGTGGTGGACATGAAGCTGATCTGACCCTGTGTTCCGGGTCGATGACCACCTAGGACTGCTTCAGAGACGTGCCTGCACGAGGTCACCACCGATCCACCCCCAGCGGAAGGCGACCTCCGACTCTAGCCATTCATTTGCCCCAGGGGGGGCTGGGTCCGGGGCGTGGCCAGTGAAACAGGCGGAAAGGGTTGCAGAAGGTTCGCGTGGGATAGGGTCAGGAGGGTCAGGATCAGAGCCGCGACGGCCCGAGTCTAATGGCAGGGGGGGTGGGGCTCACCGAGCAGCTGTCCACGCCGCCCTGCGGGAAGCCGGCGCACAGCATGCGGCTGCTGATCTGCACCGGGTAGAAGCGGCGGCACGTCTGTTCGCTCAGCAGCCGCACGGCCGCCTTCTGCAGCTGCTGCACCATCGCGCCTGCGGGCGACACGGTGTCAGCCGTCCAGGCCCAGGCCCAGGCCCGCGCCCGCGCGGCACCTGGCCACCTACCTCCCTCTCGCACGGAGCCCCAGCCGGTGATGACGCAGCGCGCGCCGGCGGGGGGCCGCGGCGCGGGCTCGGGCAGGCAGATGGGCCGCACCAGGCGGCTGCGGCGCACGGGCCCGGCCAGCTCGAGCAGCGCCACGTCGTAGTCGAGCGTGTACAGGTTGTAGAAGGGGTGCTTGTAGATGCGCGCCACGCGCTCCAGCTGCCCGTCGGCGCCGCTCAGGAACGGCGTGCCCAGGAAGGCCGCCCACTGCTTGGGGTCCCCGTAGCTGCGGGCGCGGGCGCAGGCGTTGTCCAGGCGCCGCCCGCGCCCTGCCCCCTCCCCGGGCCTCGACGTACCCCGCTGTGAACTAGGGCGCAGAGACGGATTGGCCCTGGCCCTGCCTCCCCCCCTTTCGAGCGCCCCACTAGGGTGGGGACAGGGCTGGAGGAGGACGACGCAGCACCTCCCCACGACCCCCGATGTCGTCTGCGCCCCAAGCCACGACCCCAGGCTTGGTGGGGGCCGTGGAGCTCGGCTCGGCCCTAGCGGCCC